TATTGTTTACTGGATTATACAAAATTAACATTTTATAATTGAATTGTTATTTTCCATTTGTTGGTTTAATTTTGCCAAATAAAGAACTGTACAAATCATTCTTTGCATGATCAGTCCATGCATCATTTGTTATAATAGGAGCCATAAAGTTTACTAACTTATTGTGTATATTATATCGTATCTTTCTACCTTTGGTAGCTTTTGTATCTATCTTTCTTTTTATTTTACTTCTCATATTTTGTAATTGAATCCATTGTTTACTAAGTGGTATAGGGTCAGTAATATCAGATGATTTGTATTCAATTAAATCTCTTAAAAGTTGATGATAAAAGTCATCATCATCATAAACCTCATTATCATATTCTTGTATTCTTCTACCCTCAATGTTATCTGTTGCTTCTATCTTACCAACAATTTTATATTCCGAACATTTCAATCGACTTCTTTTACGTAATTTTTCTTTCTCGTTTAAAGCAAATTCAATTTGTTTTAATGTTGTTTCACTCGTACCTTTATTTAATTTACCACTAGCTACTCTTGTTTTTTCATTCCATTTTTGTATAACAGAATTTCTGTAATCTACATAAGATTTATGACTATTATTTAATATTTTTTCATAATTGTCAAGTTTTAATTTTTTCTTAAAAATGTTCTCATTAAAATTTTTTGTATCTTCATTTGAAAGTGTATTGTCATGTTCATCTTCATCTTCTGTATCGGAAGGAATTTTTTCATTCATTGAATCTTCTAAATTTGTTACTATTTCAGCTTTTCTCTTTTTACAATCTGTATTACATAATTTTTTTGTTTCGGAATATTGTTTCAGCAAGAAATATTGCAATTGCAATATATTGTTTAATAATAATTTTAATTTGTTTTTTGTTTCATCAACTGCCTTCATATATTGTGGATCCATTTTTAAATCTTTGTAGATATCATACTGAGGCATTTGATTACTTGTAGTTAAACATTTTTGCAATTTTATTCTTATTTCTAATAAACTTTCCCAAAGTTTTAATTGACTTCTAACAGAATTGCCTTTTTCAATTTCATCTTTTGCATTTGTTTGTGACATTGTCTGAAAATATTTTCCTTGCTTTGCATCAAAAGTATTACCATTTTCATCTTCAATATCAGATTTATCAATTTTACTTTCAGAAAATTGTGTGAAATTTATTTCACTATCATAATTATCATTTTCATCATTGATATAACCACTCTCATCATTATTCGCATCATCACTGTCAATCATGTCATTCTCACTTTGTTTTTCCATGCTACCCAGTCTTTTATCTTCACTTTCCAATGTATTTTGCAAATTAGAATCATCATTATTATTATATACGTCTTTTCTTGAAATTTTTTTACCTTTATACCTATGGTAAAAATTACATAATAAAAAATGATAAAATATATTAATTATTAAAACTACAATAAAATTCCATATGTACCTTTTATCTATCTGATCCAAGTGATCCACAGTTCGTTTACGAATTTCCGAAATTTGAAAATTGCCATCTGTATCGTCACTTTCATCATAATGATCAATCACTTTTGCTTTTATGTCTTCATCCTCAATATCAGAATTAAAAGTTATTGGTGTTGTAGTAACTAACGAATTTATTTTATCAGCCAAGCTTTTCTTCTTTCTTTTCAAGGTCATTGTTTCAGTAAAATAGGTTTAAATTAATTCAACTATAATTACACGTGCACCTTTCTTTAAGGATACATAAACATAACCTATACATAAGAATATTGTTAAATAGCCGTTTATAGAATCTAAGAATGTATAAAATAAATTTGTACTTTATAATTAATAATTTTTAATTAATAACAATATTATTGCTAAATGTACTATTGTAATTGTATCTAAAACATAGATAACTTTGACTTTTCTATAATTAAAAAATGCAAATATTGTTTGTGGCAGCGGCAAATACTGTAAACTTTATTGTGCTAATATGTGAGAATTCTTACATATCAAAATTACAAATTGAAATTGAAATGGATTTGTAATTATACATCAATACATGTATAATCAATTTTAATTATTGATTTGTAAAAAAATGTATTAAAAGCAATTTTTAACTTAGGAAGTTATGTATGGAAATTCAAAAATTAAATTTTTTTTTAATTCACCAGTATTATGCTTTGTTGTGTCAGAGCACAAGAAAATGGTTAGGATGGGTTCAGTAACGATAATGAATTGGAATTCACGTAATGGTTAGATTTACGGATAATAACATTGTGATTAAAGTACAATTAAACTCTTAGCGTCTGAATTCTTTTGTTTGCGTGCACTGACTGTTCCTGTCTTCCCAATTCTACGTGTGCTTTACAGTTTTGTTATAAAAAGTGGGGTGGCCAGATATGAAATTGTGTACAAATGTATTTTCAGAAATCATCGTATTGTCATGCACTGTTGAAGTGCAGATTTCTCAAAAATGAAAATTAGATAATCGCTTCATATGAAATCGGAGATACCGTGAGAGTAAAAGTATTCATACAACGAATAATTTTAGAACAAATTTTGTGTAATTCGGTTAGGTAATTAAAAAAATATTATAACACAAACAATTTCTATATATTTCTATAAATGCCTTGTTACGTTATCGCGTGAACGTAAGTAGCTTTAATTCATGCATGCTCGTAGCTTTAATCATGCATGCTCGTGAATATAGCTTTAGGGTGGTCTTAATCTAGAGAGATCGACGCGCACAGCTGGAGCGCAATTTGAATTGTCAATAATGTATGTCTCAAAAGATAGACTAGATAGACTAGAAAGTTAGAACTCGAGAACGGAAATGCTTTGTTATTGTAGTCGAAAGATTTTATTCAAGAACCGTACCAATTGAGAGTTTAAGTTTAAGCCACGTAGATTTTCTCGACAGGATGTTTGTATCGGGACTCAGAAATTTACGCTCTTCGTTCTGTTTTATATCTCAACGATATCCAGCCGTGTCAACTAGCTAGAACTCTAAGAGGGCCATAAATATTGTCAAGGGCTAGTTCTCGCACGAATCGCTACGTGCACACTTTCCCTCGCACGTGCACATCATGTTGGCGGTTACATCGGCGTTGCGTTCCACTACACAAACGAAGCGCTGTAACCATCATCCACTAACGAAGGATCGGGGGTGGAGTACGTGTGGGAGAAGAATCCGAAGCCGATCTATGGGATGGAAACTGTCTCTCGATTGGACCACCAGGATCTGGAAAGAGGACCAGAGGAGGATCCAGATTCTGAGAGAAGAACAAGAAGAGAGACCTCGCGTCCAAAAATTTCAAAAGTCATTTCATTTCAATTCTGCATCTTGAATCTTGAAGCTTCGTTAATCTTAAAAGGTCTTGAACAGTTATGAAATATAGAAGTACTAGTTGCAACGAAAAATCTTCCAAGCTTTATTTGAATATTCCCGCACCACAGCGAGCAGAGCGCTTCAGCGCTCCACGGCTCCACGGGCACTAACCCACTATCCCTTTTCCTATGACTACCGCAAAATACGCAACAGCCTAGAATAAATCTGAAATACAAAGAACTCAGATATTGGCATATTTGATGAAAATATTCAGGAAAATTCCATAACTGGCAAAAATAATTGCGTACACAAAAAGTATTCGAATCCCTAGAACTACCTAAACGCGCAGCAGCGGTGATCCTCTGCACGTCGTGTGTGGTACAGGATAGACCTAACATCTTATAGGATTTTTTGTTCGGGATGTTGGGGCCGAGAAGACCCTTATCATTTTCGTGTCGCTACCAACGTTACCGATTCAGCACAGAATAAAATTACAGCATTAGTATTGGTTGGAATTGGAATTAAACGTAATTATGAAATTACAAATAAGAAGGTAACGTAATTGTTTATTAGTAGATGATTCATCACTTGCGCGTGTTCTACTGCTGTCAGAGGATCGTGAACAATTCTACCCACGCAATCCAATATATGTATCTAAGTATCTTTATATGTAAATTTAATAAAATAAGATTTTTTACATCTGTCGATTTTACCATCTTTGATGGTTGTATTGTACATATGTAATTCCTAAACTCACCGCTTTATATCGTAGATATAAATGCTCATAACAAAACTCTGATTTTTTACACAATCGGTATTTCAGAACATTGAACACAAAAATACATTAGGTGCAGTCTATCCTGTATATCGTCTGTGCCTGTATGTACATATTTCGTTTCAGACGAATTGTCTGTAATATTATGGGTAATGAGTCAGCCATTGACAAAAATTTCAAACACTGGAAAAATCGGACAAGTCTTAACACATCTTAACGAAAGTATTAATATAATAATACATATTTGTAATTTTCGAATAGTAAAAATAGCCTTTTGTATTAAAAAATAATTAGTTACGAAACTCAAACTCTCCTGAGTAAAAGAAGAAAAATCATATTCATTTAAATAATAAATAAATCTTTATTTTTAGGGTTATTAATCATACAGAAATGAAGTTTTATTTATTTTGCTTAAAGGAATATAACTTTCTGTATAATTCTGTTGCTGATCCAAAAATTATAAATACATTTTTCTTGCAGATTTCTGGGCCAAATTTTATTTATAAACATTTCAAAAAACCATCACATTCCTTGAAGTTTACATTGCAGTATGTCAACTCTGCATGCGTTTTGATAAAAAATTAATGTTACAATGAATCGTTAAATATCGTCCAAGATCCTATAACTGATGGATTACAATTCTTGTTAACTTGTTGTAGTTAAATATCGTGCAAGATCCTATAACTGATAAATTACAACTCTTGTTAACAAATTTCTCTAAATAAAACAATAATTCTGAAGTTAAATTCATTTCACTGACAATGATGCAACAAAATAGATGAAAGTTAGCTTTTCCATAAATAATATTTATTCAGCTGTTGATTTTCAAGCAAAATATTGTAACATTTTTGTTCAAAATGATTATTGTAAGCACTCAATATATCTTATATTTTATTGTCAAATAATAATTATTTGCGTAAATTGTAACACTCATTACAAAATGACAATTTTAACACACACTTATTACATTAACAGCCAATAAAATCATTAGAAGGTATTTGACTACTTAGAAGCTGCAGTAACAATAAAGATTAATTATATTTACATCACTGCTTTATTTAATATCTAAATAAATTAGAATACATGTACTAATAACAAATATTATTTTGGTGTTCTAGCTACAACTTCTTGAATTCGTTGAAGTATTTCGTCAGATTTTAAATTTTGTAGAGGAACACAATGTTCTATACCAAATTCTAGAACATAATACCACTTTTAAAAAACAATTTAGAATAAATAGTATACATTATATATCAACAAAACATTGTATTAAGTTCATGATATTGAATTATATACTCATTTTAGTCAATATATTATCTTCATACCTAAATTAATATATTATGTTGTACAACTCACCATATCGTGCATATAAAGAAGGTTCTATTGAAGAACATTCTCTAATTAAAACTGGAAACTGCGGGTTATTTGCTTTAAGAGATACATATTGTTGTTGAATAAAGTCTCTGAAAATATGGACAGGTTATGGTACAATAAAATTAAAGTTGAGTTAATTATGTAACTGTATAAGCATAAAAAATGCTAATTTTTGCATATTTAATGTTTTTATTACCGAACGCCCTGACTAGACTTTGATGTTTGACACAACAGAATTCGTAATTCTTTTAAGTGAGGTCCAAACTTTATTGCGGCCATCTTTGAAATTTAATGTAACATGTAAGTACTGCTGGTGGAAAATTAAGGAGAAACATCCGACGACGTGAAAACAGACTGTTGAAAGGTATAGGGAAGACTAGGGATTTCTCTGCAGAAAAAAGTAATTATAACTCAAAAAGCCTTGCACGATATACATATATTATTATGTGGCTTATGTGTAAAGATGGCAACGAAGTATCGATATTTTGAAAACATCGCTGTGGAAATATTGACATTGAAACAATCGATGTTTTTTTTATGCTTCTGTGACATATATCGGTAACTTCAGATTTATCAATTTGGCAGCTTATTTCGATTTAAACGGTATAGACATTCAAGCCAATGTAAAAACAATTGAAGATAATCCATGAGTTCATATTTAAAACGTGGCGACTGTTTAGTCAATAGTTTTTAGTCCTTTAAAATAAAGTTTAGCCACTGACATATTCAAATCAACGTATCTCTGCTATTATTTAAAATATTCAGAAAAAAAATTTATTGAATAAACTGAACTCTAAAATGAAAATTTAAATGGAATTCATTGACTCTCACCCTCTACAATATCGATGTGCTACTACCGATGTATCTATGATCATTGATGGTAATAGGTTGATGGCAGTTATATCGGTGCATCTTTAGGCTATATCCAGTGCTCCTTCGAACAACGCGGTTTCACTTATACGCTGTTTTTTTTCTTAAAAAATTTCAACGTTCATTTCGAAAATCAATTTATACATTCATCATACATTTACAATTTTCTTTATCATAGCGAATAATAGAGATGAGAAAGAGCAAATACGAATTCGTTCGCGTGAACTAATTCTTCACAAATTGTCGCTGCATATAAGAAACAGTTGCACCGAATTCAAATACGTAATGAATAACCGAATTTGGGAAAAAAATGAAACGACTAATGTGTCGTTGCGAGCTAGAAAGAGCTACATTTAAGCAATTACATAATATGTGCGTGCATATGTGTAAATATATGCACATATATATTTATATATATATGCACAATATATTAATATTCTTCAGTTTTTTGTGAAAGCTTGGGGCGGGGGGGGGAGGCAATAACGCGGATTTCCATCTACGCGTTAGGCGGAGTCCTCAACCCCCGCGTTGTCGTGGGAACACTGTATGCTTACAGAGACACGGCTTCACAACTGCCTTGACATATAGATAAAATTATCTACGTGATGTCACATGAGGGCAAAGTAATGATAGAAATTTTTATTTTCAAAGCAATGTATAAATATTTACGGAAATGCAACTTAATCATTGTTAAGTATGAAATATATATTTTATTGCATTAATTGTTAATTTTTGCTTTATTCGTATAATTTTAAATAGTGCCCATTATAACGTATTTTAGAAATCATAATTTCTAACAAATTAAATTTCAATTGAAATGTTGATAATATTCAATCTATAATTATTTCCTTATAAGTCATTTTAATTTAAAAAAATAGTAAGAACAATACATAAATGTCTGGAGAACAATTATTTATTCATAATTGTTGATTGCAAAAAAAAATAGTTTTTGTAAGTTTACTTCTTATTCTCTTATGATTTGTTAATAAATTATTTCCTTTATAACACAATCATGCGTTACAATAATGAAATTTATGATTTTGATTAAACGTATAATGTGATTAGATCTTACATTGTTATTGTACATATGTTCGTGATACTCACTGATGGACGAACATTGTTCATAATTTTTACAATTAACTTATGTAATATATTTGTTTTATTCTAAAAGTTGTATCCCTGCTTTAGCAATTTTACCAATATGTATGTACAGCAAAACTACCAAACAAGTTATCTGACTATTGCTCTTAAACATATTTCACACTGCACAGTGTTTTTTATTTTTTGGACTACAAAACCAGTAATATATTCAACTATATCTCATATGTATAATGATGAATCTTTGGAATAACTTACACTTGTAACGTAATAATTATGGTCATCATTATTTTCATGAAACGGTGCATTATTTTCAAAATTTCTGTTAGCAGTTTATCAATTTTCTTTATCTTGTTTCCCTTTGAAGTATTTATTGCTAAAATGATTGTTGGGATTTACTCAATGTAATTAGCTTGTAAAGAGCCAGTTATGCCAGTATGTATTAATAATTTCTTGTAAGTAGCTTCAAAAAGTCTTGCAGTAGGATTATTATTGTTTCTTCTCATACTTCTGATGGCACTGAAAAAAACTTCAAGGTGATCTTGAGAAAATTTGTATGCCAGTATTTTACCATTAATTTGGTTGCCAACAGATTAATTAAATATGTGTATAAGTGATCGTAAACTGATTATAAATCCTACAAAACCAGTTTTCTTTTGACTCAAGTGCAGTGGTCTTATGCATGGCCGATATGCTAAAGAAATGATGTACTTGATCATTTCATTGATTTTGTTAAACACAATATCTTTATTGTACTGTTATAAACCAACTTTAAAATCCTTGGCTATATCAAAACTTTGTTCATGAAAATAATGAATTGCCCTGTTGGTTTACAATCCTCAAAACTTGGAAAATATTTGGTTTCTCTTAAATACTGCAAGGCTTTTACAATACTTAAATTAAAAGTTTGAGCTTTACTTTAATTTTCTCTTTAAACCAGTTAATATGTCACTTTGTTATTGTAGTTCCTAAATGCAATCCTTCTCCTTCTTGTACATCTGTCAAGTGTACAAAATTTTCCCACTTAGTTACATTATTATCATCATCATATAAAACTTTGCAAGTTCTCAAAGTATTTCGAATAAGTTACAGCATTGTGATGAGTCTAAAGGAAATGAATAGATTCCCCTGTACTTGGATATGAAAAACATGGTGTTAAACAGGTGGAAAATAATTGAACTCCAGGACGCATTGCTCTTGCGATATTTCTTACAACACCATTGAAAATTAAGCTGCAAACTTTAACTCTAACTGCTGATAGCCCACTGATTAAAAAGTAGTTACTGGTAGTTTCAATTGGTCATTTACACAGTTAATTAAAAATACAATTGCTTTTTTCACTTCCGTGAAGTAACACTTTCAGCTTATTTGCCAATATAACTGCAACATATAACTGGAACATATGTATCACTTGTTGGAAATGTTATATATGCAGCCTATCCGAAACGGCGGCACCGGGTCTATATATTTCCATATAGACTTGTGAAGTTAAGTACATACTGTTGAAATATATTCTTAAACATACTCTAAAAATTTTTAACCGTCCCATTCTATTTTCTTATTAATTGCCAACTCATCAATTATCAAAGCACAGACACAAGCTTTACCTTTACCTTCACACTTGGGAACCTTTATCTTTAAGGTATTTATGGATTCAGTATAAAAACCCGATTCATATGCAACAGATGCATACCACTTTTGCAAGATTCGAGGATGAAGTAGGATATTATGAAATGTATCTCTAACATAATTATATGCTCTTGGTGAATAAAAGTTTAAAATAAGTGCAAAGCTTTTCATCTCAGTAGGGTATGCTTTGCATTTAGATTACATCATTTGTTTAAATAGAGTCTTGGTGGAAGCAGGTAAGTTGTCCTGAGTGTGTTAAAATAAGAAATGAACAAAAAAAAAATGGGTGCTATATACAACTAAATATAAAACATCCATGTGCTCTTTTAATTAATGTGACACGCAGAAAACAGAACAACCCATTAATGGAATGTTTCATGCTTGTGTCATTGAAATTTATACATACTGAAAGTATTAAATCTTTAATTTTTTGTTTCAAGAATTCATACCACATGTAAATCCATAACTCCAGTAATGTTATTAAATGTTCACAAAGATATTATCACAAGAATAAATGCATGTTTGGAAACAAATGGGCAACTCTTTGAACATCTAATAAAATCATTTTCAGAGCAGAATATATTTCTTTTGATATCTTTTGACACCTATAACTCCTTAACTATGCAGAATAAAATAAAATGCCTTAGATAAAAGTTGTTAGGTTTGATAACATACTTCCAAATATAGAAAAATTAAGATATCCCATTAAAAAAAAATGGAGGTGATACCCTTTCCATTCTTAAGAAACTCACCCCCACAATATTCTACACTTTAAAATGTTAGCTCCTCTACACCATTTAATACCTGAAAATTTCAAGTTGATGTCTACAAGGGCTTAGGAGAAAACAGCTTGTAACACTTTATCTGCTCCACCCTGTATATGTATACGCGGGATAACGCTGAGAGCTTTAAACAATAATAACTTGTGAAGTAGGACGAAGTAGGAAATGATTCTTGTATAATTATATGTGAGAAAGAATGCTGAAAATATTCCAATTTGTAAAATTCTGGGACTTTTTAAGATTCAAAAGATATTCCTTCTTAATTATTAAGAATTTTTAGAATTTTCTTTGTTATATTGAGCATTACATTTTTAGTACATTATAAATAGTGATTTTATGGACAGTGTCAGTTATTAACTTAAAGGAATGTTCTTCATTTCAGAAAAAAATGGTAAAATATTAAACAGAATCGTCAAAATATCTGAGAGAAAAGCAGCAATTTTTTCATGAAAAAACAACCTTAAAAATTTCCAACATTTAACTGTTTGTTTCAATTACGGTTTTTATTGAAATGTATTTATTTCTTCAATATAGCTTCAATATAGCATTCTCAAATATAGCATTTCGTTTAAAAAAATTAAACTGACATTGAAATCTCCCCCATCATACCCGGTATCCAAAAAATATATACACCACATAACGTCCCCCACCGTACCAAACAACTTTTGTTAAAACATTTTTTTCCTAACATCACTTCCTTAAAAGATATTTCACTGTATTGAGATAAAACAGACATCCTGTATATGTTTAGACTAATATGTAAGGTCATACTTTTTCCTCTGGCTTTCATAGTGGATACACAGTTAAAAAATACGAATTCTGTTAGAGTCTTACTTTTTTATTGTATCCCTGTCATGGCGATTATTTTATTATATTTACGATAGTTTATTATAACATTTATCACTTCGAGAATAAATACTTATTGGTTTCTGATTGCTTAGAATATAAGCATTGTGTTATCAAAGAATTCCTTATTTCGATTAATTTGTCATTAATTATTTTTCATTATTTTTGGTTTTTATTAAACACTAATGTACAACAATCTTTGTAAATAATACTCAATATGAGTTTCTAAGTGGTTAATTTACGAACAGACCATCATCCGAAGAAAACGAGACGTAATCTAAGTTATAAGTATGGTCATACTCTTACCTGGAACCGCAATTTTCATAACTTTCTCATCATTTCCGGGAAAAATGACAATTACATTTTTTGTTCCTTAGGATGCGTAGAATCATGCTGTAAAAAAATTTTCGTTCCGGCCGTATGCCAAAATTGGCCTTTTTTTAACATCTTCTTTTGTCGATTCGGACCACTATTCGTCGGAGAGGTTCTAACTAGCCCGGACAAGTGGCTGGTAGGATCGATGGTGGACTCACTTACCATATGGCATAGGTGCTTCGGTGAGTACAGTAAAGATTCGGTAAGAGTTCCAAAGTCGGGACCGCTGTGTAACAGCTACGAAAAAGGTGGTAGGTTTCTCAAACTCTTTGTATTTTACCGACACTGACGGACGCAGAAAGAGACAGCAGACAAAGAAG